TAGTTTTCAAACCTAGCATCGAGCACCTTAAAATACTTTTTTTGACTACCCCTTTTACTTCTATTAGCACATTTGCATTTCTCCAACCATGACCCATCAGTATTCCTTTGGTGAATCCTTAGTATTAACATTTGAGTCATCCCAATAATCCAGGATAATCTTCATGTCTCAACATCCTTATTTTAATTATATATGCAAAATCTTGCTTGCCATGTCAAGTAACACTTACCCTGATTACAGATATTAAAATGTTGATGTAGGTGAGTAGTTATTCTACCCAAGACACCAACCTTATGTCCAAACTCCCTTTTAAATTTGTATTTAAACAGTACCAGTATTTATCAGGCAGTGACTTCTACATTCCTACTTGAGTCTCACAATCTATTTTCAGTAGAACCACTTTCAGCCCCCAGAGTGACTTCTCGTCCTACTTCTGTTATTTGTTCCATTTACCCCAGCTAAACCCTTAGATTTTCTTTCTTGCTTACGAAGGATTTTTAGTCTTTTGATATTCTGAGAATGCATTAGAGTGGAGCACCATTTTATTGCTTATTTCTATATTTTGCCTCTAGCTAAGTCAGAGTAGTATGGTATTTAAGATAAATTTTATTATGTATATTTCAGTATTACAAGATTATATTTTTAATTTAGAAATTTTATAGACCATATTGTTGTTGTGAAATCAGAAAGGGAATAATTATGAAAAAAGCTCTTTGAAAAGTCTTCCTAGAGAGTGAAATACAGAGAATGTATTTATTCTGTGCAATTTTATGAGAATCACATATGTAATTAGAGTCAAGTGACTGAGAATGTGAGTTCTTTGTAATTTAAGGGCTATCAGTATACCAGTTTGAGATAGACTTCTGAATCTTCCTATTTACATACATTCCTGAAAGAAGAATGTGTAAGTTCTACCTGCTACAGAAACAGTACCTTCTCACTACTTGTCTTCCAATGATGCAAGGAAATTTGGGGCTTCTGCTCCTTAATTTGTCCCCTTGAGATGAGATCAGTAGGGACTCAGTGTATATTTGAGGAACCTTGTAATGAGAAGAGATCTTGATGAAAAATAAAGACTAGAACAGTTATTCCCTGAACAGGAAACTAGTAAAAGTGGACATTTCCTGATCCAAGGGAAAGCTGATTTCCTGTAGCTTTGCCGGTACTGTTTCAGCAGCCTCCTGTGAGTTCAGGTTCCTGAGAAGCAGACGTCTTGGCAGGATTAAAGGATCAGATGTGCAAAAGTTTCCAGGGGAAGTACCTATAAAGGAGAAGTGGGAGGGAACAGACACAGGCAGAGTGATCCTGAGAGTGGTGTTCACAGTTTTGAGGTTCCATAGCTGTGAACAATAAAAGAGAGCTCAGAGAGGGAAATGTCTGCCCAAAGATCAGTTCTGAGACTGTTGTGATCATTATATGGACAGTCTCCAAGCCAAATTTACCTATTAGAGAAATCCGGCACTGGCCAAGAATGTGCCAGCATCACTCCTCACACTGAGTTCGCCTCACAGCAACAGCCCAGGGAAATGTGGCTCTGTGGCTCCTTGGAGCAGCAGGTGAAGGCCGTAATTCAACCTAATTCCATGCAGTGCGTTCTCTTGAAGGGAACCCTAAGTGCAATATCTCTGTTTGCCACAGTCCATCCCTGGGTTCATACACATCCACTTCTTGCTCATTCCAGGAGTAGCATATTAGAATAATTTTAATTTTGACTTTATCTCTTTATTTCTGATAGTCACTTACTGTGTCATTAGACAAAACCATCATAATCTCTATAGTAACTTCTTGATATTAAGACTTAGCTAAGGTCTACTACCTTGGGGAGTGGTGGAAGTTTTAATCTCCCTAGCTAATCAAAGAGAGTGGGATATCTATGTTAATTCTATGTCTAGAGCACTTTGAAAAGCAGAGTAAGATTGCCTGCCTTCTTTCAAGATTGAAAGATTGTTTGGAGACCTAGATACTGAAAGCAGCAGAAAGACCAGTAAGGGTACTGCTATAAAAACTTGCCAACTTGAACAACTGAAAAAAAATATGTAGCCTACCTTTTCAGTATAATTGTTTTTCTGTGGTGTATTCAGCACCATTGAAACAGTAAGCATGATAACAGTCAGCATGATCAGGGTAAGCATATTATCTGTGGAATGGATCCTTGAGACATATTTTATTTTCATATAATTCACCATACAGCTTCAGACTCTATAACCTACTACAAGACTTATTAGGCTCTTGTGGAACATTCTTCAATGATAATGATTTAAAAATCAGTGTGAAGGTCTGGGTGTCATGGTGCCTGCACCTGTAATTCCAACACTCTGGGAACCTGGGACAAAAAGACTGAAATTTTGAGCACAAACCAATCAATTTAGTGACTCAGCAAAATATTTTCTCAAAAAAAAAGCAACCAGCTCACATCCCTGGTAAGTGGCTGTGGTGTGGCAGGTTGCAGCCCCTCCAGGGTGAGAACCACCAGCATCTCCCAAGATCTGTGCCATGTTGGAACTTGGGGCACTGGGAAACCAAGCAACCAGCTCGCCCCCCTGGTAAGTGGCTGTGGCATAGCAGGTTGCAGCCACTCCAGGGTGAGAACCACCAGTGTCTCCCAAGATCCATGCCATGTTGGAACTTGGGGCGCTGGGAAACCAGCTCACCTCCCTGGTACAAGGCCATGAGCCTACCCGTGCACAGGCTGAGAATCAAACATCACACCTCTCCATCCCTCCACTCATTAGCAAATGGGAGCCAGAGATCTGAGCATCTCTTTGGGAGGTTGACCATATGCAGTATAGCAAATAAGGGGGATTTCCTTCTACCATCTCTTTGAAGGCAAATATTTTTATCACTGTTTTGCTTTATTCTGATTAATGGTATCTCTCTGTTCAATATTCTGTTTTGATAAGTTCTATAATGTTCTTTATTTCATTTGTTTTTGCCATACTTGATTAAAAGAACAACTATTGTGAAGATAATGAGATACACTATAGTACCTATTACTGTTATCCCGGTAGCCTGCTGTGAATTCTGTACCAATTTCACTACACTGTCTAAATTGGCTTTATTCCATCTTATTCTGTTGTATTTTACTACCTGCAAAATAATAAAAAAATTTTAAAAAAGAAGAAACAAGCATTAACATAGAAAACAAAATAAAATAAAACAATAGAAAATGATAAGACAATGAAGCAAAATGCAACCACAGATATCCAGGGCATGCAAGATAAATTCAGGGGATAAACAATAGAGCATATTACAAGCAGTTTTCTTAAATTGTCTGGAATAATAAAAGCAAAATTAAAAAAAATTCAGGATATTGAAGAGAAAATTAGAAGAAAAAAAAAAAAAGGTGCAAGGGTGAGGATGGAGCTATAGCTCAATGCAATAGCTCTGGGTACAATTCCCAGTACTGGAAAAGAAAAAAATAAATTAATCTGTAAAAATAGTGTTTCTGTGCGATTTGCAGCTAGTTTGTTCTGGGGCCATCTGCATGCAGAGTGGGAGTCACTCAGCATAATTCATTTGTACTAGGTTCTTAGCAAGCTCACCCCACTGCTGGACTCCCCATGTCCTACACTTTAGCAAATGTTTTTATTCCCATTTTTCTGAGTGTTCTTGTGTCCTTCAGGGTTTGTTCTTCATTCACAAATGCACATCACCTCTACCTTCTCTGAAATCCATAGTAACTCTCATCCAACTCTCACACATCATCTCATTGTAATTTGTGTATTGATTTGCTGTCCTTTTCATCCAAATAGAAAGATTCTTTACCATTCAAATTATTCTTTAAATGTATTTGAACTTGTTATCCACTAAATTTATTTTAATTCTGTGTTTTCCAAATGTTCTTTGGAAAGCATTACAGTAATTAACCAAGACAATAAGGTTAATGCAGTTGTAAAAGAAAATAAAGCCAAAGAAGAAGGAAGCCAAGATCCCAATGACTGTAATTGTGCTGAAATATCAACTTGGTTCTGCACAATCTGAGCCATTAGATCAAACAGTATATTATTATTTAACCCTCATTATATCAAATAAAAGGAACAACATCTCTTATAGATAAGTTTTGCTTAACCAAATAGTAAATTTCATGTAACCCTCATGCTGGATTTTATTCTCATAGTAAGCAGAATAATTGTTTCCTTAACTCACTCAGAACATGTCTATTGAGGACTTGTTATTTGTCTTTGGATGTTTCATTTTGCTGATTTGAAGGTAAAGGAGAACAGTTCAAATAACTTGTTTTTTCAAGTTGTGTGAGGTTAGATAAGTAAATACACTATTCATCCTTGGTGATAAATATTTTAATAGAAGTAAGATTTGAATTGCTCTGTATATGTGCACCATCTCAGATAAGGAATGTTAAGGAAAACTTCTAGATGATGCTGATGTTGGAAACACATTTTAAAAGCCATTTGAAAGTTATCTCAGCAGAATGGGGTTTGCTACCAAAAAAGAGAAGTAACAAAAGAGAAACCAGGGCCAAAAGCAGCATGTACAAAGACCCACCAGCAAGAGAGAACAGGGTTTCTCCGGTACCAAGTCTCAGGACTTGGATCAGAGTCTTAGTCATGAAGGAATTCACATGCAAGTTAAGTGATTTTGCTTTCAAAATTCCTCATAGGTCCGGGAGCTGCGCATACTGTGATGTCAGAAATTGCCATGAATAAATAGACTGATAATTCTGAAATATTATAGAACATGTAATATGTAGATATAAATGAAAAAGGGAGCAAAACTCAAACCTCAGAGGCATGTGAGGCAGCATCTGGAGTAGGGACCTGGAGTGGGATAAGGAGGAAAATAACAGTACTGCTCCCACCAGAATGTTAATCAGCTGTGCTCTCCATACTAAGAATAAATGGAATCATACCCCCTGTACCTTTTCATGACCTGCAACAAAATACTGGGCATTCTTTTGAAGCAAAGGTAATTGTGCTTATTTCTGATCTCCCATGGAAAGCTTTAATAATGGAATTTCTTTCTGTTCTCACATATTTGGTTAGAATTATCCTATGCTTGGATCTTCAATGAATATCCATCATTTGTTGAAGAAGATAGTCGGAGATTTGTCTCTCAAGAGACAGGACACCTCTACATAGCTAAGGTGGAGCCATCTGATGTGGGAAATTATACATGTGTGGTTACAAGTATGGTGACAAACGCCAGAGTCCTGGGTTCTCCAACTCCTCTGATGCTGCGTTCTGATGGTATGAAATGTTTTAAAGTAAAATTCTTGGTACAAATGGTGGTGTGACTACAGGCAAAATCAAGTGAAAATACATTTGGAAGAACTGTCGTTTCCGGGGGCTGGGGATTTAGCTCAGTTGCATAAGTGCCTGCCTTGCAAGCTCATTGTCGTGAGTTTGATCCCCAGTACCAATAAAAAAAAAAAAAAAAAAAAAAAAAAAAATTCTAAAAAGAATTGTTTTTAAGAATTGTTATTTCCTTTCTTTTTTCATTGGGGGGAGAAGGAAGAGAGGAGAGGGGCAAAGAAGGTAATAGAAGGAATGAATATGACCACAGTATATCATACTCATTGAAAGCCCTCCCTGTGCATGTGAAACTAGTGCAAGAGTGGGGTATGAAGGGTGATGAGGATGAATGTAAACATTATGCACTACAGACATAGACTAATTAAACATTTAAAAATTATTCTGTGAACCATAGTCTTTATCCAGGACCACCTTTATAATTTGTAAGGACCACAACAAAATGGAAACAGGACTCATTTCCTTTTTCAGAAATTATTGAGAGTTTCAGAACAGTAACCATAGAGTATTGCAAGGGTTGAAGATCTGAGAGCCTGATGCCAGGCTGCATTTCTATCACTTGAGTGAAGTCACTGTTTCTTTTTTTTTTAATTTTATTTAAGAGGAAAAAGAGAAAAACACAAAACAAAACAAAGCGGTGTAAGGGTTCACGTAATACAGAACTACAAAAAAATAAATAAAACATAGCAGTAAGAAATCACCTGTTAATAGATTACATATTATCATCTTGGAAACAGTTGCTCAAATCACAGTATCAAAGAATACAAAGTGGACATTCAAACAGAGAGAGTGCAAACAGCTGTGTTCAATGATCCAAAAACATTAATATAGTCAGCTGTTTAACACCCCTAAACACACTTGCTGTTATATCCGTTAGAGCTCTTTTTTTCCCCTCTCTTTTTTACAACAAAATTTACACATTTTGGATTTTATTACTCCTTAGTTCTTATTACTTTTTTGGGGGGGGAGAGAATAAAGTCAAATATGGCAAAACAAAGCTGTCAGTCAAAACCAAGGATAGACATAGCACATGATGTAAAACAGAGTACAAGGTTATCAACAATGGTTATCAATGTTGTCTCTTGTTTCCTTAAAAAGAATTGTCTATCTCATTAGATATTATAAAGTTGGACAAAACAGTAGAGAACAAGACCAATAAAACTTAGGCATTGTAAACATTACAGGACTTCCAAAGGAGACACTGTTTCTTACTTTCACCAGCTTGTGGTTTTGAATGCTCTGAAAATGTTTTATAGGCTAAAAAGCATCACTGAAAAGAAAGATAAGAAAAAAATCTGTTTCAGCAACACCTTGATAACTGTAAGAAGAGTTTATGTTACAGAGGAAGCCAATTTGTAAGCCTGAGTAGTTGACCCATTTAAACTAAACTGTACCTGATGCAGCACAATGCCAGAACTTCTTTCCTGTCACTTATAATTGAATCTGACCTTTTCCACTTATTAAATCACTGTTTCTTGACACCAGGGAACCATTTAATAACTTTAACATTGGTGTGGGTGTTACCAGAGTACCATTAAATAAATAAAATAAATCCCCTAATGTAACTTTGTTCCATGGGAAATTTCAGGAAGTCGTTGTACGGTTCAGTTTGACTAGAAATGTCCAAACTAAACACAGAATTTAAACAGTCTACCACTTTATATACTGTGAGAGGCATGCTGTCTAACAGATAACTTAGGACAACTTCAGAATCTGCAAATCCAGAGTTCTTAAATGTTTATTAATGTCCACATTTGATTCATACTGTATCAGTGAGTATTTTACATCACTGGAAGATGCTAGTTCAAATTGCAACAAATATACGAGTATAATGATGCAGACCTATAATTCCAGTACTCAAGAGTCTGAGGCAGGAAGGTTGATAGTTCAAGACTAACCAGGGCTACATAGAAGAATCTTGGCTCAAAAACAAAACAAACAAACATAAAGTGGAGCAAAGAAAGTTTTCAGACAAGACAATTTCAAAGTAAACATTAATAATATTAACTGTTTTGTGAATCGCAGGTGTGATGGGTGAATATGAACCCAAAATAGAAGTTCAGTTTCCAGAAACTCTTCCAGCTGCTAAAGGTGCAACCGTGAAACTGGAGTGTTTTGCTCTTGGAAAGTAAGTTTTGTCAAACTCACCTTGCTATGCTCTCTACTGTTAGGTTGCTATGAGACATCAGGGAGGTGTTTGACAAATATCTTTTCTTTACTTCCTAAAATATACTAAATATGCATATGCAGTAAAGTTTGGAGAGGGCTATGATGGACTAATTTCATAAAGTTAATTTGTGTTGTTTTCTCTTTTCTGTTCACTTATGGTATTCTAATATGGTGATATGTGTTAGGCATTTTTTTCCTGTAAAGCATGAATTGACTCAAATAATGTAAAATGTATTTTATTATAATATCAATTTAAAGATTTAAAGGTGCTAAAATATCAAGTTAAAGAGTTAAATCTTTGCATTATGTTTATGTAATTGATAGCTGGAAGTGTTACACATTTTTTTTTATTTTAAAGAGAAAAAAATAATGATACAGAATTTCAAAACAAGATAATAGGAAATTAACACTAGTTAATTTATTGTATATTATTTGCAAAATAGATACTCAGAGTACAAGATATAGGCATGTATAACTGATCAAACCATATAAGTACAAAGTGATTTTTTTCTGTGAAATAAAAGAAATCAGATCTTAGCTGTCTTTTGTATAAAAAAGGTGTTACAACTTTTAAACTGGTGCTTTTTCCTGTCTTGACAAACACTTTGTCAAGGCTTAAGTGCTTCCAGGTAACAACAAACAATGTGACAATTTTCCTCTTAGCCCTGTACCTCAGATTAATTGGAGAAGAAGTGATGGAATGCCATTTCCGTCCAAAATCAAGCTGAGAAAGTTCAATGGTGTGCTGGAGATCCCTGCCTTCCAGCAGGAGGATGCTGGGTCCTATGAATGCATCGCTGAGAATTCCCGGGGAAAGAATGTAGCCAGAGGACGCCTCACTTACTATGGTGAGCGTCTATTTGGGCAAATTGGGTTTGTACCTTCTGTTCCCATATCTGTAAAACACTAACTATTGGGGCTGGGGATTTAGCTCAGCGGCATAAGCACTTGCCTTGCAAGCAGGCGGTCGTGAGTTCGATCCCTGGTACCAATAAAAATGAAAAAGACAAAAAAAAAAAAAAAAGAAAGAAAGAAAGAAGGAAAGAAACACTAACTATTTGGGGTGGAGGAGACATAATGGCAGAATTTCGGTATTTTTTTATTTGTTTTGTTCTCATTTTGTTCAGTGAGTATAAGCATTTGTCTTAAGAGGCAGAGAATTGAAAGATATAAAAACTTGTAACAAATGTAGAGACATACTCCTATTACATTTTAAAATGAATCATATGGCAATGAAATATTGCATACTTCTTTTCTTAGTATAGCATTTCACATGTTTAAACACTGTGGGGATCTTTTCTGTCTACTTTCTCTTCCAGGAAAGGTAGTTTTATAACATTATTACCTTTACTAAGCAGGAAAAAAATTCCCCACAGTTAGGAGTTGCAATTTCTGTATTATTCAAACCAAATAAACTCAAGATTGGGTTGAGTTATTCAGTATTATTCTATCCATTTCCATAATGTATCTGTACTCTATTTGCTGCCTTTAACTTGTAATTACATTTATTTTATGTACTGTTTAATTTGGGTACAGAAAGATAATCATGTTGCCTTCGTTTGGAGTTTATTTGCAGAATTATGTTCTTTTGCCTTTTCAAAATTTGTTTTCAAATGTCTTTTAGTTAAATACAAAGCACTAGGTTTTGATGAAAACATATTTAGAAAGTATAAATACCTGATTTTATAAAGTGTACCTGTAAAATGAATGTGTGAAAATGTAAGCACAGTGAATATGTATTTCCAGTTTAATCATTCAAAACATTGTAAAACTAGTGGGAATCCAGCAATTTTGTGGAAGGCAAATTACATTAGAGTCTATTTATTTTAGAAACTGGGAATTGGTACAGTTTACAATGCAAACTCATGTAGCACACACAAATGTTGTAGGGAGGAAAATGTTTACAAAGACAATCACTGAAATCATAGGACCTATTAGAAACCCTTTCAAAAGTGTGAGGTCTGTATTGTTTCTGTCAGGATTAATTCTCATTATGTTAATGTAAGTTTTCAGCTGCTGTCAGGGACAAAATACAGATAAGCATTACTAGCAAGAGTCATTCTGTAAGTTTGCTGTGTTGTGATGTGATTACTTTAACATATGGGGAAGCATCCCACTGGGAAAGTACTCCAAATGTCAAGATCTGTGACTTGGTGGGAAGACACGGAAAAGATCCTGTTGGTAGAGAAACAGGTGAGCACTGAATTCGTGTGTCTGTCAGCTCCAACAACTCACAAAGCAAGTAACATTTTGTTAGTCCCTAGCTTAATTCTTTCTGAAGCAGTTAATTTTGTACAAATGTGATTACATTCTTCTCTTATTAAAGAATGAAATCAGAAACAAAAAGAGGAAATTAAGAGAGTGTTTACTGTAAATAAGAGAGTAGTTCTTGAGGAACACCCACCAGGAAGAAGTTCTGAAGTAGAATGGGCACCAAAGGCACCAAACTTTCTTTGTTTTGGTCTTATAGAAATAAAAGGCACAGGAGAGGTTATAAACTTTTTTTTTTAAATAAATTACTCAGCTGGACAAAGTTAGAGGAATCTGGTTATTTTGCATTTCTAATGTTCAGTCCTGAGATAGGAAGGAACTGTCAAACATGCAGCAAACTTTGCATAAGAACCTTCTTCCTAGGCAGAAGGGTCTTTCTCTTTCCATTCCTATGCTAATCTTTTATCTTTTTTTTTTCTGTTTTGCTTTTTACATTTCTAAGTTTAACTAACTGCATGACTTGAATTAGCTCAGTGTGTGTGCTATTTTCTTTCTATCCAACCGCTCTATTTAAGGTTGTTCTTACTTGGAGGCTAACTAACCAAACTGTGCACTATATTATGTTATATTATATTCCACTACATTTCTCTGTAAGCATAACTGATCACTGCCTGTGTAGAAGTGGCCTATTACGACTTTCTTAATGTTTCAGTATAATGATGTTAGTTCTATATGAGAGCACACTTGCATAAATAATAAGCAAGGATATGACTTATATGATGAGAAATCCTAAATTAAATTGACCTTCTGTACTTTATCATCAGTCCATGACTGTTTCCATTTTCTTTTTGTTTCTGCTCTTATCTGTCATTATCCCATTTTCTACATGTTATTTCCACTTTAGATAAAATGACTGTCAGCAATGACTAGCACATCAAGAGTTATTCAGTCTTCCTTTTTCCAAAACATCTAGCGTTCCTCTTTTCAAATCATACTGGCTCTATGTCCAAACATATACCAGTCACATGAAAGGAAAAATGGGATTAGATAATGTAAAAACCTCTCATTGTGGCAAAATGTATCATCAAGTTTCTCTAGAACTGATAGATATAGGAAGTGATGTAACACAAAATAATAGAGGAAAAAGATGAGAGGAAATTAGTGCATACCAGCAAATCAATAGCCTCTGCTACACTTAGTAAAGGAGGTAAACTTTTGGTTTAGCTGATTTTGTAGATAATATGATTTGTGCCTAAAAACTACGTTAGATGGTAACGACATAGAATTTCCTGAGCTTGCTGTATAATTTCAACTTAAACTTAGCATTTTTGCTAAGTTCCACATAGTTCTGTGGCTATCTGCTTTTACATATTCCATGTAAAAATAGTCCAAGAGAATATTTGGTTCTCATATGATGGACGAAGAAGAAAATCACGATTAATATTGCAGTTATAATCTTAGATTTGGCTTAGTCCAGCAAAGTCTCTTCTTATTTGGATAAGAAAAAAATCACGTAAGTTTTTATTAGCAACTCTTGTTTCTGTCAAAGTTTCATGTGTAAATGTGTTTGCACTTTCTTCACCTCCGTCTGGTAATACCTCAAAGTGAAAGATACGTTTTAATATAAAATAGACACACGTATCAGAACTAAACTATACTTGGTATTAGCTGAGTAGTTTGTAGTAAAAAACAAAACAAAAACAGAAAAAGGAAAGACTTAGAACTGTACGTCCTCAGTAAAAGCTAAATAGTCATAGATTCAGTTCAGTTTCATTTACAAAAGAAGCAATTTTATGAGATAGAAATGGAAAGACAAATCTTGCCATAGTTGCAATTAAATAGAAATAGATAAACTGTTTCTCCATATGGAAGATGCAAATGTGAATCCCACAGTACATATCACATGCATAATGCAATGTGAAGCCAGTAAGACATCTCACCTCCCAGTTTTGGATCTAAAACACAAGCTGAGACTTGGCAGAATATACTGTGTATATTGAGTGGCTTTCATTGGAAGTGGAACATTGCCTTCATCTGCAAAAAAATTTTGAAATACCTTGTAAAACATAAGTGAAAATGATTAATTGACTTGATCCAACTGTTTTGCATATATAATTTGAAGTTGCATCAGTTACTTCTTTTTCTGTTAAAAATCGTATGATTCAGATTAAACCAAGTTATCTATCTTTGGCTGCTTTCATTTTATTTCGCTCAGAGGTTTGTAAGAGGCTCACTGGTTTGTATTTAATTAAGAGCTATTTCTGACTTGAAGGAAATATCTTTTCCTTAGCTTTATAAATTTCTCTCCTATGGATGTTAATATTTAGTTCTTAATTAAGAGGAGTCTTTGCTGTCACTCAGTTATTAAATTGTCATCAATTGTGGTTTCATGATTCAAAGCTAGGGAAAAAAATCAATTTTATCCCTGCATTGCTACCTTTTAACAGATACCTGAGAATACCTCACAGTGCTCAGAATTATGAAATGAAGAAAGCATAGCAAGTTTGCTTATGATATGACAGGTTACAATATCCACCTGCAGGTGTCGAGATGTTTTATAGTTCACTTAGTAAAATACTGAAATAAATGTAACTCTAGCCTCTCTGATAGCTTTAACCTATCTTTTGAAGTTTTATATTTATTTTTATTTACCTGGATAGATTATTTTTTTATTTGCTAGCTTGTCTGAATTTCTTATTTTTTTTTCTTTTCTCCCATTGCAGCAAAGCCTCATTGGGTTCAGTTCATAAAAGATATGGAAATGGCTGTGGAGGACAGTCTTTACTGGGAATGTCGAGCCAGTGGGAAGCCCAAACCTTCCTACCGATGGTTGAAAAATGGAGAAGCCCTGGTCTTAGAGGTAAGGTAATGTGTTAGATCAGTTTGCCCTCTATCTGCTTCATGTTGAGTAAATGGTCCCTTTGGTTCCTAGTGCCAAAGTAAACAATTGAGTTTGTGCAATTTTATTTTTACCTAAGCAGTGCTAAGAGATAATAACATAAAAATCCAGTACTCAGTCTGCTAATTAGATCTTTTCAACACTGCATTTCGTTGGGTAGAGGTGGATTTGTCAGGTTAGTTACAAAATAATATCCTGTTTCTTGGTATTAAAACTAGAAAAGGCTGGACTTGAATCAAACATACAATATACTTTTCTTTCCCTGTTTGACTACTTGGTATGTCCTCTAGAGAATAAATACATGTATTACTTGATTACCTTGTTATATGGATAGTTATTTTCTCAATGACTTTTCCTTTCAAACCATGCAATTTTGACTCCTTTTTGTATACTAAGTCAATTATGTTTCTTTAAATTTCTATACATAACCATACATACTTTCTTAAAAACCTTGTCAGTATGTATGTTTCCCAGAACCTTTTCCACTGAATTTATAATGTGTTCAATGTGCATGATTTAAAAATAAAGTGTGTTGAAAAATATCTCTAGCTGATGAGATAGAAATCTAGATCATGTTATTTTTTTTAATTGGAAATTTTAACCATGCATAAAACTTAAGTAGTCATTGCAGTTTACCTGCTGCTCTGATACTTATATAATTTTGAGCTGAGTGATATTTATTCATAGTTCTAATAGGTCTTTCAAATTTCAAAGAAATAAAGGTTAATTTTCAGATTAGACTGATGACCACTCAGAGGAAAATGTAGAAGCCTGTGTCTTATTGAGTGATACTCATTTGTATTCATTTTTCTCCTAAAGTGTTTATATGTAAGGTATTTTTTTATTGCCTAGGAGAGAATACAGATAGAAAATGGTGCTCTTACAATATCCAACCTAAATGTGACTGATTCTGGCATGTTCCAGTGCATAGCAGAAAACAAACATGGTCTCATCTATTCCAGTGCTGAGCTGAAGGTTGTTGGTAAGACTAATTTTCTCTGTAATTAATTTTTTGTAAATCCTCCATCATTGCCAGAAGCCAACATGTTTACGTTCATATTAGACTCCTGCATCTAATGACATCTACAGTATAACAGCATGAATATTCAGCATTTCTAATAAAGGCACACAGTTTAATGATTTATAAAGAAAAGCAGCAGTTGTATCCAGAATTAAGACCCAAAGGCCGAAGTTAATCAACAGAAGGAAGAAAATTCACCTGTTTTTATCATTTCAAATGTTATGGACAAAGGTGCACTTCTTCAAATAATAAGTGATATTAGTGCTCCTCTGACCTGTGAAATCAAATACCAGTATTTGAATAGAGAATGTTTTTTATTCAAAAGGAGTTTCTTTTGTCTTTCTTAACTCTATGGGAAGCATCAGATGCCATTCATGGGGAAGCTGTAATCATCTGTTATTTAAAATTATGAATTATTTTCTTGTTCTCCTAACTTACAGAAAGAAAAAATTTTTATCGTGTTTAGGGTACTTTTCTTGAAGAACACTTAAGTTGCAGAGGATTAAAAATTTAACCAAAATGTCATAGAGTTGCATAAAATAGAAAAGGAAAATGGAAGAGAGTGAAAAGGGATTGGGTGAAAAAATTCATCAGTCCTAATTAAATTGGAAAATTGGATTTTAGCATAACATGATCCAGGCTGGGCTCACCTAGCTCTTATCAGTTTCTGTATGAGAGTTCCCAAGACATTCAGTTTGTTACTGAAGTTAAGTTATTGGGAAAAATGGCTGTATTAATCGCTCAAAAAGAACTCACTGTGCTTCATGTTATTGGTTGCGTGTAACCTGACTTAGGTCTTTATCAATTGCTTACTCAGTCCATAAGGACCATAAGGATATAAGGCCCTGCTGAGTCTTAACTCAATGATGCTCAACTGAAAACAGTTTTTCTTTTTTCCCAAAGGTATATATTTGGAAATGTATGGATTTTTTTTTTTTTTTTTTTTTTTTTTTTGGTCATAATGAGAGGCTTGGAGAGAAAGGGTCCCTTGTGTAATATTAGCACATTGTAAGTGGAAGCCCAAAGAGGCTGCCGGATTTTCTAACATACAAAGACAGCCTCTCACGATGAATGATTATCCAGCCCAAAGTGTCAAGAGAAGTTGAGAATCCCTAGCTTAACGGAAAATAAGTGTCTTGTCCCTGGTATCTGAACATTAGAAATGGATCATCCGGGCCAGGAATGATGTCCGCAAACGAGGTATCATCAGTGAAAATCTGGATCCCATTATCTGTGACAGAGAAACAGGATATTAAGACAAAAAGGGAAGTGGACTTCCTCCCAAATTTCAGGTGAAAGTGCCCTGCTTAATGAACCTTCAGAGCCATAGCTTATTCGTCTTTTAAATGGTGGAATTCCTATCAATGTATTGTGTGGAGTTATGTGAAGGAAAAAGTATGGGATATGTTTTTAAAAGATTTTATTCAAATGTAAATAAGTTTTTGTTTTTGAAGAAATTAATTTTTCAGGTCTAAATTTGTAAGACCCAACAAATTCTGGTTAATATGCCTTCTTTTTCATAATCATATGGAAATCACATGCTTCTTTTCCATATAAAGTATCAACTTATTAAAACAATATATTATATTCACTAGGATTTTTTAATAAAACAGCATTAGCTATTTGAGAAAATTACTGGATTCTTAACTTTTTTCTACATATGTAATAAAACAGAAAATATTTTTCTGATAAGTATATTATTTCATTCAATTGACACATTAGTATATATCATGAACATTCAGATAATGTTTCAGAATTGACACTTCACACATTATTAGAAGACACAATACCTTTGACATATGATAATCTTTAATGCACTACTATAACATTTAATATAGTATTAACATTATACTACCTTTCCCCAATTGGGAAGTTAAATTTAACTATACAAGAATGTTATAATAGAACTTGACACATTCATTTTAGTGAGATTATTGGTTCTCCATTCAGCCTTCTTTCTGTGACCCTTTGCTGTGCACCTGCCACATGCCAGGCTCTACATGATGTCCTGTAGCTGAGAGACAAACCTATCCCCCATCTTCATAGAACAAACGTTTGTAATCATTCAGTGCTAAGTAACCAGCTCTCATATACTCATCTGTGACCTGACTTGTATCTGCATGGTAAACATTAAAAATTCTCATACAAACTAAATTTTTAAAATGCAGAACTTGCCCCAAATTCCACAACAGGAGGCACTTTTCTGGCCCTGAAATCTGTGCATACTGCATGGCATATCAAGTATCACTTTCCATGCCAAACATAATAATAAAATGGACATACAGTTGGCCTGTCAAGTTTACAGGAAATTGAAACCAAAAAGATCCAACATTCATTAAGCCCATGATCCATTCTCCCTCTCTTTCTTCTTTTTTTTTTTTTTTTTTCCTTTTTCAGCCTCTGCTCCCGATTTTTCAAAGAACCCCATGAGAAACTTGATTCGGGTGCAGGTGGGAAGCCTGGTGAACCTGGATTGCAAACCCAGAGCTTCCCCCAGGGCACTGTGTTCCTGGAAGAAAGGAGATGCAGTGGTGCAGGAACATGAAAGGTATTCTGTCCTCCAAACCATGGTGATTTTCTTTCTTTCAAAGTACGCTTTCCAGAAGAAATGCCACAGAGTACTGTTTCAGTAGATGTGAGATATTTAAGAATCAAAACAGTAGTATCTTCGTTTCGTAATAGTCTCATTTATGACAGTACTTAGTTTTTGAAATCTAATAGTAAAGATATGCCTAATTTCTATGCACAGAGAATTCCTTCTTCTAGCTAATATTTTCTTCCCAGTCCTCTTGTGAGATTCAACCAGAAAATAAAGTTACTCTACTCCCAGATGCAGGACGACATCCCAAGAAGATAATAAAATGAGGGCACATGTGAAGGAAAGATGAAAATTGCTGTTCTCTTATCCTGAAATTGTTTAGCACTCCTGGCATTTAATTTAAGCAAAATTTTCTTGGTATTTTGATTATCTTCATAATGAAATGAAGAGGCAAAATGGATCTTACTTAAAAGAACAGATTCTGAGTCATGCTGCCAGTGTTCAGATTTTCATTCTGCCTTTTACCAGCTCAGTGCTGTGCCTCATTTTTCTATGCCTCATTTCTTTATTTGATAATGGAAATGATGATAATAGTTTATACCTCATGTCAAGATGATTACATGGATAAAATGTATAAATATTCATAAAGTGCTTAAATCAGTACCTAGCGAAAAATAAGCATATGCACTGTCTATTTTGCTATTTATTAAATACTTTGGTTTTATCAGATGTTACACTCAGGGCTTATGATGACAGAATAATAGCCCCAAACCCATGGTCTTTCCCTGGACACTTGTGACTGTGTTACATTAGGCGGCAAAAGTGATTAAATTTGAATGTGGAATTAAGGTTGCTAATTAGTTAAATGCAAAACAAAGTTTAACCAAACTTGTATGACTGGATCAATACTATTCACTATAGCCCTTCAAAAAGAAAGAGGAAGGGAAAAAATTGTCCAGAGAGGTTTGGTCATAAAAGAAGCAGCAGGAGGCACCTGAAGCATGGGAGAGCCTTTGGTGTCTGCTACTGGCTTTGAAGACTGTAGAAACTGCACATTAATGAAACATCCACCTCTCCAGTCCAGGAACCTCAAGGAACTGTCTTTTGCCAGTAGCCTAAATGAGCACATGAATTCCAGAACCTTCAGTAGACGTGAAGTTCTGCCAGTTCCTTAATTATAAGCCGGTGAGACCTGGACTGCACTTATTGTCTCCAGAACTGTAAGAAAATGAATTTACAAAGGGTAGTCAAAAGATGGAGTGAGTGTTTCAATTAAAAAAACTGTTGAAGAAACATGGCCATTAATTCCCCTCAGAATACTTTCCTCAAATCAAACACAGTTCCCTACTTGGCGAGTACCTTTGTGAGGTATGATAAAAAATACCAAAATGCCAAATGCCATGCAGCAGAAAACTTAAAACACATTAGGGAATGTCCTCATCCACCTGATTCATGATTTCTGGCAATATGAGACTTCTGGATTTTTCCCAAAGTCAAAATGACAAGGCGAGGCAAACATTTAGAATGAATTACCCACATTGAGGCAGCCACAAAAAAAGATATTCACTAAAGAAGATTTAAAACAGCTTCAGAAGGTTGCAAGGATAATGGGATAAGCATGTATAAAGTGGGGGGAGGATTTAGAAGAGAAATAATGACACCATTATTTATATATCTCCTTTAAACATTTTGTTACACATTTTATACATTTTTGAGTGGAAGGGGGCATGAGTATAGAGTGATATAGAAGAGAGGAGGGGAAAATAAAAAGAATCAGAATTCAAGATACCCCACAATGAATTCACAATGAATCATAAATACATACCAATAGCAATAGGCAATTTAATACCAAGCTTTACACAGATTGTCTCCTGTAAACTTCTTTGGAGTCAATGAGAAAATTGCAGTTTAGAGGAATCGTGTAATTTTGCCTAAGGTCATAGGTTCCGAACCACACTACGTCTGTTCTACTGTGGAGCAGCGCTGGTCACCTCCTTTGTTGGCCCTTGCTTTGTGTAGCAGCCCAGATGATTTGAGGTGACCTCAACCTTTGAAGCCATGAGTCCCAATTATTTCTTTTAGAAATGAGAGGGAACCAAACTGTAAAAGCTTAGTCCATATTATGTGAAGTTGCTCTTTAAAAATCACAAGTCATACTGCAAATGACCAGGTAGAACTGCTTTTAGACTATAGGACAAGGCTATTTTTATGAGTTGATTGTGACAACACATCCTACAATCTCTTCATTATTCGAGGTGAGACACCTTCATTAAAAGGCCAATACAGCAGGAGGACAAGGTGAAACTGTGAACAGAGCTGTTACACACTGTCCAGCCAAATGTGAGGCCGCAGAGAATAGATTTCTGAAACAGGAAACCAATGATTTGAAGTTAGATTTTTTTTTTTTTTTGGTCTTTTTTTGAGACAGGGTTTCACCTTATGGTTCATGCTGGCCTTGAACTCACTTTGTAGCCCAGGCTGGCCTTGAACTCCCAGCAATCCTCCTGCCTTAGCAGGAGTGCTGACATTATAGATGTGTCTGCACCATGCCCAACTGAAGTTTGATTTTTATAAAACAGTTTAAACAAGTATACATTCATGTTGAAAATGGGTTACTTTTGACTGTGATTGAAGTTGTCTTCCTGTACAACTGCTGACTTTTTTTGTGTGTACGTTTTAAATAGTTTTGTTTGTGTGCATAAAATTGAATGATTGCTTTCTGAAGACTTTAATACTTTGCATGATCATCAACCCACTTGTCCTCGCAGTATTACATATAGCAGCCAAAGAATTTTAATCTTAACTTTCTAAGAGAATATGAAAATTAAGAGATTTAGCTTAAACGAACCACATAAGAAGAGGTTTATCCTACATAGCACAGTGATGGTTAAGGAAAAGACTATAAATTCCAGAATCAGAACAGGTATTTCTGACTTTGGCTGCTTACTTCTTGGGTCTTGTTAGTCACTTATGTATTATGTCTGAACTTTAGTTATTTTATCTATTAAATAGAAACAATATTTCTATACCTATTTGCCTTAAGGTAAGCGTTTAGCACAGTGCCTTATATTTGCAGATACACCTATCAGTAAGAATGAGGTTATATTAAAAATTAAATGGTGTAAGTAGTTATTAATAGCTGAGATATACGAAAGGCTTTTTATATGCTTTTTATATGTTAGGTGTTTGGGGGTTGGTTGATCTTTCTGAAGGTAGACATTCAAGGCTGTGTCCTTTAGGGAACAGGTCCCAGCTGTCCAACAGCCCAACAGCCTCACCTCATGAACCAAGATGGCTGCTGAGCCGTACCCTCCCAGTGACACCCCAGGCAACAGGAAGGAGGAAGACAGATATGAGGATCCCATATCCTTATAACAGACTCCCTGACACCTTACCAATTATAAACTAGTTCCTTGGTTACATGTAACAGTGAGCCAAGCTGGGAAGTATGTTTTTGTTTTGTTTTGTTTGTTGTCTGTTGTCTTCCCTCCTGCCCCATAGAAATGTGCTTAGTGAAAGAACCGAGTGTCTGTTAAGGATAGAGGGGGAAACGTTTGCACTCCAGCAGTATCTCAGCCCCTTTTAGGGGGCACCTCCATTTCGGTGCTCCCTAAAAGGGTACTTTGACCTCTCCGCTTTGTATACTAAGGAAGCTTTTGAATATCAGATGAAGCTTGAGGCAGAAGCATGTTTACACAGAGGGTATAGAGTCCTGTAGTCCTTCCTAGGATTACGGTTTGAATTGAGTTTTTATCTCTTTGGACAGCTAAATCAGTGATGATCCAGGGTCTTGGTGCTCAGGGAAAGCCTGCTAGAAGCAATTATGGAACAAGTTGTGGGTTTGAATCTTATCCAAGTCCAAGGGAAATCAAAATAGGCCGCAGCCATCACTTGGCAAGGAAAGCCCTATATCTTTCCCTCTTGACTTGGTTTGCAGACTTCAGCCAAAACAGGGAAACATGTTAAATGGTAGATTTATTGCTGTTGTTTAGTCATAGATTAAGCCAATTTAGAAACTCCAAATTTAAACCTCTTTGAAGGGACAAATGAATTTATTAAAGTGTTTGAGAAGAAAAAAAGTAACAAATTGGGTGCAATATTCATGACAAGATTAGAAATTCGTTTCATGTTTTAGTTAGCGAGTTTTGAGAACTTTTTATTTTGTTTTGGTAAATAAACCTGGGTTTGTCAGTGAATAAGAAACAGGATAAATAAAGTTTTCTTTAATATAGCATAGGGGTTCTGTAGCACATATGTTTTGGTTAAGAAAATATGCTAGTATATATAGCATCAAAGTTTAAAATCAAAAAATTCAAGAACTAAATCCTAAGAATTGTAAAATAAAAGCCTGATAAATACAAGTACTATATAAGTCATAAAATATATTTGAATAATTTTAAGCTTTTTGTTTTGTAATTTTTATATCAGCACAATAACAACTTTGAAATTATAAATAAAGCATGATAATTGGCTCTAAGTCAGTGAGACACCTACATTACTGAATTGTCTCCAAAGAGTCAGAGTTTTTGCTTTTCAGTATGAAGAATATTTTAAGCTGATGTTATAAATGGATTATTGCCCTCTTAAAAAAGCTGTTAATAGATAACAGAGCTTATGGCATAAGCTGAGCACTTGGAATAAGTTCTCATTCTATCACTGGAAAATATTTTGAGTAAGTGCTATGCCAGGAACTTAGTATTTGTTTTTAATCAAAGATGCCTATTTGGTTATTTGGAGTTCTTTTCGTTTCATTGTATTTTGTTTTTAATTATAGAGACAAATTAGGTAACTCAGAGCAGTCACAGCACAACTCCACTGGCAAGTTACAGTACAAACAGAGATCACCCAAGAAGACCTCCTCTCCAGTTAGCAATATGAGCACAGTTTTTGGAATGAAATATGGATAGGAGAACTTGCACCTCTACCAAGGGTTGCAAGAGAATCCTCCAAACAGAAGGAAGTGTGTGCAGAGGCACAGTGGCAAGCATAGTAGAGGCATTGCAATATTT